ATACTTCATATGGAGATCAAGCACTAGTTCACTCTATCATTACATAATAGAATGTACATCAGAGTCCTAGTATAGGCATGAATACACAGTATTATAGCTGCTCAATTTGTGATAGTCCCACCCACACACTACTAGGCTCCACTCTCTCCTGGATGGATATCTTGAAGGCAGAAACGAAGCATTTACTCATTTTTGCTGCCTTATTATCCAACAGTGTCTGGTTCATCCTAAATACTAATGGTTTTTTGTGGGGTTTTTTGGCAGAACTGGGGATTGAACTCAAGCCCTTGTGCTTGCCAGGCAAGCGCTTATTCTACTGAGCCATCTCCCTGTCTCCCCTCCTTTTTTTATGTATTCAGACTCGCAGTGATCCTCCTGTTTTTATCCTCCCCAGGGCTGGGATTGCAGGCATGCCCCACCAATCTTGGACTCGGTGGCTGGTTCAGTGCGCCCAGAGGTGGGGCCAGCATGACCTGTGGTGCTGGGGATCAAACCCCCGGTTCCTGTGCTTGCCTAAGCAGACACTTAGTCTGCTGAGCTATCTCGCTGGCCTTAATACTAAATTGAATTAAGCAGGATCCTCAAGTTGTAGCTATAGCCCAGACAAAAACTAAGACAAGCAAGGAAATCAGCAGATCCTTTTCCACAAGAGCAGCTATAAAGTTAGATAAAACTGATTTTTTTTTAAATGCATTTGGTTGTTGCAGGGTCTTACTATACAGCTCGGACTCAGTGATCCTCCTGTTTTCAGCCTCTCCAACACTGGGATTATAGGCATGTGCCACTACACCTGAACTCTGGCTGGCTCAGCCCACCCTGGAGGTGGGGCTGGTACAGCTTGTGGTGCTGGGAATTGAACCACAGTCCCTGCACTTGCCTACCTTGCTTAAGCCGGCACTTTGGTCTGCTAAGCTATCTTGCCAGGCTGACAAACTGACTTTTAACACTGACTTTTGAAACTGATTTTTAATAGCTCATTTCTATATTCTGTAAATTTAATGAAGTTACCTAGCAGTGTTTATACCTGAAAAACTATTGAGCATCAGCTAAGCGTAGGACTCGGCATTCTTATGGGGGATGTTCCTGTCCCCTTCCTCCCACCCTCAGCTTGCCTGGGAGAAGTAAAGTGACCCAAATGGATAGGGTGAGGCCCAGCCATTTTGTCCCTTTGGTTGAGAGAGGGTTGTCTGATTTGAGGGGTGGGCACCGCCTGCACACTGTGATGTCACCCCAGAAGAAATGCTCTTGATAGCAGGAGGGAAGGAAGGAGCGATGACTTGACTCCACTAGCCCGAAGCTGCAGTGATGCTTCTGGCTACAGCTAGCTGCATGAACAGCACAGACTGGAGAGCATCCAGATTACTCACCCTTTCCTCAGGCTGTATGCTTCAAGTAGAACAGACAAGGGCACAGCAAAAAGGACAAGTTAAGGCAGATGAAAGCAGTCTAGCCTTTCAATGCATCCTACTCACAGAGCCCCTAGCAGAAAACAGAAGACTTGCTTGCTCAAAGCATGTAAGTACAATCTCTGTCCACATATACGTTGACCACTAAGCTGAACAGACCTAAGAATGACCACTCAGAAGCTAGTCTCGAAAACAAAAATTGAATAAAAAAAGAGAAAAAGAACAGAAACAGTGACTGCACACCATAGGAAAAAGTTTCCACAAATTTAGCCCAGCAAATTACTGAACCAAGAAAGAAATAAACAAGTTACCTGAGAGGAAAAGGATCAGAATCCAGACTTACTACAATATGGTCTCAAATATGTCTACTTTTCAACAGTAATAACAACAAAAATATGAGACCAAAAAAAAAAAAAATCCCTCAAAAGTATGACTCACAGTCAGAAGAAAAAGCAATCAGTAGAAACTATCGTCAGGTATCCTAGTTGTACAGTATGGTAGGCAGGACTTCAAAGCAACTGCTGTAATTATATTCAAACATCTGAAACAGAAACTACATTTGAAGTACTAAAAGAAAGTCCCTATGTTGTTCCCGGGACCCAGAGTCAGTCTCCATCACCTAGTGGGTAGTACTCAATGAAAGATTTATGAATGAATGCCATCCTTCTAGAAACTATATATTGGTGGTGAATGACAGTGGTAAATATAACTGGTGGTGAATCAAGGACCTCTACATTACAGAAAGTCAGGCCTGGACATTCCTCTGAATTTTAAAAACAACTCCCTGGAAGACCCAGAAAGGTTAAGAGTCAAGGCCTCACAGTAACCTACTTGAGATTCATAAGCAGGAAGGGAAGAACAAAAGTAGTGTGAAGTGACACGGACAGCCTTAAAATGAGTGACAGTGGTTGACAGTCTGGTTTTTTGGTCCTAACTTGGTTCCTAACTAGCCCACATACTTTTTCCCTCTGGGTTTTGACTTCTTATAAAATGGTGTTGGGCTAGATCTGGAAGGTACTCAAAATACTCAGAGGGCACTTAGTATACACCAAGGCCCGAGCCAGGCACTCAGGACCAGTACAACCCAGGATGGACCCTGCTCCTGGGAAATCTACAGCCTCATGTACAGACAAAGCAAGCAAGGAAGCAAAAGGGAGAACTCTGTTTTACCGTATCAGTTTTGTAAGGGCTAGGAGATAAGCCAAAGGCCACTAGCCGGGGAGACACTTACATAGACAGCATAGAAAGGCTTCTTGAATAAGATACTGAAAGCGTCCTTGCTTCAGGGGTACAGGGATGATTTCAAGGGCCCTAAGAATGCCTTAAAATTGAGTTCAAACCTTTGTACACATGAATGCTTTTCAGATGCAGGGGCTCGTGGCTTTCACTGATGCTCACAAGGACCTGCGGCATTCAGTGTTTGCAGCAGCATTACCCATGGTACACAAGGTAGAAACAACCAAGCATCCATCAGCGGGTGAATGCACAAGCGCTGTGTCCCGCTGGAATGCAATGGAATATTTTTTGTTTTATAAGGAGTGAAACTCTGACACATGCTACAATAGGGATAAACCTTGAAAATAGTGTAAGGAGAGAAATCTGCCCAACATGAAAAGGCAAATGCGTGTGACTCCACTTACATGACCCCCTAGAAGGGTCAATTGTGGACATAAAAATGAAAAGAGAGGTTACTAGGGGCTTGGTGGGGGAAGAAAGGATTTAAAGATGTTGTTAAGGCATACACAGTTTCTGTTTGGAATGATACAATTATGCTGAAAATAGATAATAGTTCTGAACAACACTGTAAAATACTTACTGCCACTGAGTTATACACTTAAAAAATTGTTCAAATGGTAAATTTAGTATTATGTCAAGAATAATTTTTTAAAAAGTGGATCTGTGGCTCTGTACCAGATGACTTTCTGGACACCACCAGCCTTATAAAGGTATGCTTTCCAGTGACATGGAGTTATGAAGGCAAGACTTAGAAGATTTAGGATGCTCCCTTTTTTATATTTAAAAAATACAGGCACAGCTATCTCGACACATCTCCTTTTTACATGCAACTTAATACTTCTGCAAAACTGTATTAAAGAAAAGCCATCAAAATAATCCCTGGTATTTACAAAACTCCTCAGTGTACCTGGCATGATTTCATGTGATCATCCTCAACAGCTAAGAACTACCAGATCTTTGGCCAGCTAGATAGCTTAGCAGTCTAAAGCACCTGCTCAGGCAAGCTTAGGTAAGCACAGGGACCTCAGTTTGATCCCCAGCACTACATGCCATGTCAGCCTCACCCCCACAGGGCTGACAGGGCTGAGCCAGCCACCAAAAAAAAAAAAAAAAGAGCTACCAGATCCTCGGTGCACCTCAGCTGGAGGGAAAGACTGAGAAGAAAGGGCAAGCCCTCATTATCAGAGTTCTCTCCTTTGGCTGTTTACACAGACCTGGCAAGGGAAACTGCCAGGCAAGTTTGGCTGCCCTGGAACAGTAGCTAATACCCAGAAGCTCCTCCTTGATGATAAGGTGGGTTGCATCAGAGTTAATGGTACTGTGCCTGGCACACTTCCCTGGTGCAGTCACCTAACAGGTGTAGCACCATTCACCCCATTCCACCTGGGGCAAGGCTACATGCAACAAGGGGTGCTGCTACAGTAGGAGCCTCAAATGTGCTCTGAGTGTTCAAAGCTTCTTCCCCAGAGTGGGGGTACTGAGAAGTGGAGAACTTTAAGAGGTGGGCATTGTATGAGGTCTTCAGTCACAGAGAGGCTTGGAAGAGCACACTGGAAACAAATCTTCCCCCCTCCTGTCTCCTTGGTTCCTGGCCATGAGTGGAGCACTTCCGCTCTACCAAGTGCTCCCCACCATGATGTGCTCCCTCCCCAAGGTCTAAAAGCAACAGGCCCAGTTGATCATGGACTGAAATCTCTAAAACCATGAGCCAAAATACTTTTTTTCTCTTTATAAGTTGACTTAACTTGTGTATGGTTTTGCTTTTTTTTTTTTAGTGATAGAAAGCTGGTTAGCACAAATACAAAAGAAAAAATTTCTGCTGTCTGAAAATTAATACCTATATCTGAAGAGTCTATATATTTAACTAGGAAAGAATCCAGGAACTTCCCTATTGAAACTGTCTTGGAGTAGACACAGGAAGGCAGGGCTGCTTCACAAAGGAAGCACCACAGACAATAGCTTGCTAGGCCGATGATATTCACACACTGGGAAAGCTGCCCACAGCAAGGCTGTGACTGCCTGGTGGGTGACAGGAGCAAGCTGCTCCTTGGCCTGTGTGCTTCCTACGCACAGCTAGGTCTGTGGAAGGAAGCTCAGATACTTCTGCAGCATACGCCGAGGTAGATCAGCAACCTGTGCTGTGCCAACATAAAGAGAAGCAAGAAAGAAGGAGGGCAGAAGGAAAAAGGAAGAACATAAAGAAAAGAGAGATGAGACAAATGGAGAAGAGAAGGACACAGGAAAAAGGAGATAAAGGACCATAGGTAATCACTGCTCAGAATCCTTTTAACTGTAAAGGGCATTGGCTTTACTTGTGAAAGAAAGACAAGACTCCAATGATACAGGATTGGCATTTACCTTCTGAATCTTTGTTGTAGAAAACACCATGTGGATGCAAGGAGTATGGTCGGGATGCAAAGTTCTTTAAATGAATGACAATGACGTCACCCACTTCGGCCCTCAGGATGGGGCCCAAGAATCCAAGCCAGGGCGGTTTGGAGATTTCAGTGGTGTACGTCCCATCTGTGAAGTGTCTATAAATGGCCTTTTTGTAAATACCACCTATCCGGTTGGGTCCTCTTTCAAGAAATAAGGTTGCAAGCCTAAAATGAAGAAGGGAAATGTTTTGAAACACAGATTAAAAGAGAAACCAGAATAGCTTACCTTTAACAGTCCATAGCATCCTTCCATTTTTCATTTGACATTTACCATAACCTGTGACCTCTGTAGAATTGGTGAGATGATCTCAATTTACCAATGGGGAGATGAGGCTCAGCTTGTTAAGTGACAATTCCAAAGGCACAAATAATGGTCATAGTCAAGCTAAAAGCCGAGGAATTCTACATTCACACAAGTCACTTGCCGCTTTTCACTCAACACACTCTGGTTTGCATTTAACAAACATTTACTGTGCACTTACTGCATTCTCAGAACTTTGACAAAGGCTGAGGATGGGGATGAAATAAAGATTTTAGTTCAATAATCAGAAAATTAAGTACCTGTACAAAGCAGTATATTATTAGTTGTTAATTAGGCTATACAACAGATACAGGTTCAAATTTTCAAAAAATACAATAGTTCAAAAAAAAAGAAAATATTGCTATGAGAAGAGGTATGAAAATACCCCCCCTGAGGGCCGGCCAGATAGCTCAGTGGATTACAACGCCTGCTTAGGCAGACACAGGGTTCGATCCCCACCAGGCCATGATGGCACCACCCCCCAGGGCACGCTGAGACAGCAATTGAGAGTAGGTGTGGTGGCGCATGCCTATAATCCCAGCTCTTGGGAGGTTGAAACAGGCGGATCACTATGAGTCCAATCTACATAGTGAGACCCTGTAGACACTACTAAA